CCCTCTCTCTCCCTATGCTTCTATATGCCCCCATTACACATTACTAACTTTGTTTCTCCTCTCTCCCGTAGTGTGTCCTCTCTCTCTCTCCCTGTAACTTTCTGCAGGTTGCCCTGGAGCTCTATATCTCTGACGAGCAGTCACCGGCCACATCGACCTGATCAGTGTTTGATTGTTGTATCTTGTTGCTTTTCTTCTTTTGTCTCTCCTCTATCCACTCACCCCAACCGGTCGAGGCAGAAGGCCGCCCACCAAGAGCCGGGGTCTGTCGGAGGTTTCTTCCGTTAAAGGGAGTTTTTCCTCCCCACTGTCGCCAAGTGCTTGCTCAAGGGGGATTTGTTGGGTTTTCCCTATGTAATAATATTGATAACAGAAAGGTCTAGACCTTAGTTTGTAAAGTGTCCTGAGATGACTTTTGTTGTGATTTGGCGCTATACAAATAAAATTTGATTTGATTTGATTTGAATCAATGACAGTGTTTACTGCTCAGTTTCGCTTCTAATTCAGTTTGATCATGATGCCATTTGATGACCGGTTATTCATTACAGCTTACAGAACCAGTACCAGTTCTGCAGCCCAGTTTTCCCAGGATTTTATATTCAGTGTTCACTGCCATTGCAGGAAGTAGCATGACCTTTATGATGCAGAAAGCCTCAGTTCCATACACTGGAGCTCGTGTCCTGTCACAGACCTGCAGATTACTCATTTGAATTCCGTTTCCGTTGAATTCAGCGTAAATCACAAACTCTTCCTAAACTTTACCAAGTGCTTTCATTGCCTAACACTAACTCCTTAACCGTAGTTTAGTAGCTATAATGACAGCCCCTTTACCCAGACTTAACCAGACTACAGTTGCTCTGATATTGTAAAATGAGGCCAGTGTTGACATTGGATGCAAAAAAGTCTTTGAATGAACATTCTTAACTGAGACATAGGACGTGCTTTGTGTCAACTCCTCTTAACTGATGGACTGATACTTGTCACGTTGTATTTATTGTTGTCACAGAAAAAAAACAACCTGTCTTATCAATGTAAAGTCAAAATGCAGAACAGCTACAGAGGGAAAGTAAAATGGGGGGGATTTGGAGAAAAGAAGTTGCTTTCAAACCATGATGCCTAGCTGTAGCCAAGTCTGTCTTGTCCCCAAACCATGGTGCTGTCACATCAGAAAACTGTTTCAGCTCTGCTATGCCGTCCTGTTTGTATTGGCACTCTGTGTTTTATGTAGACGTTAACGCGGCAAAGATGCAGTTGTAACCACAGTGACATGCATAAATATGTATGTTCATACAGTTACAGTGCTCTCTGTACTCTGTTCATCTATAAGTGACATTATATAATTACCCATGGGCTCCTTTAAGCTGTACACCAGGACTTTACACATTATAGCCACCACAGTACATAAAGTAATCTAAAGGGAAAGTGATGAAGTAGAAAAACAGCATCATAATGATGTATTTTGCCTAAAATGTTCTTAATAATGTGTTTTCCTTTGCATACAGACATGGTGTGTATGATCCCACACAAGCATACTGAATGTATAATTTAAGTCTTGTTTTCTTTTCGTGTACACAAGCATGACAAGAATGTGTGGAGCTCAGCCTGTTGAGGCCATTTGTGTGAGATTATTTTATTGTGACATCCAGACTGTTATCAGCAGCCAGTATCTATTTTCTAAGAGTCTTGCATTTGGAAACTGGGTCAGCTATGGGTTACAGATTACAACTGAAAGCTTATAAATCTAACAGTAAAACTGGAGTTGATTTCTCTCCTTTGCTGCTGAAATGCCTGCTGCATTGTTGCTTTTTCTAAACTTCAAGCCACCGTATGTAATCTGTGCATAGACTCTAATCTGAAAAGCCTGGAATGAATGTGACCACTATCAGCGTGGTCACCTGATTACTGTGGGCAGACGTATCAGAGTGACATTTTAGTCAGCCAGGTTAGTCATACCTGGAGCAGCCTGGTGTGTGTGTGTGTGTGTGTGTCTATCAGAGAGAGAGAGAGAGAGAGAGAGAGAGAGAGAGCTTGTCTTTGTAGCTGTGGAGACCATACCAGGCAGGAGCTTGCCTATCTTATTTAACCAACTACTCTGAAGGACCTATTGTGTATGCAAGGTGACAATCTGCCATAGATTCCCACTCAACCTATAGGCCAGTGACCACTTCTGTGTGTGTGTGTTGTGCTTTATTAAAGGCCCATGTATTGATTTTATATAATAAAAAGGGTGAAATGATCAGAATCATGCTTGTGTTTCTGCAGCAACAGGTACTATTATGGTTCTTCAGTAATGTGACACTGATCGAAAGTGAACTTCAACAGTGATGCTAACAGTGATGTGTGTACTTGTATCGCTACACATTGTGGGGCCCAGTTTGACCACTGTAGTGGGGACATTTTGGCCAGTCCTGACTTTCTGTTACATCTTCAGTGGGCTGTTTGTGTGCTGAGACTTTGCTTTATGGTTCAGGTTTAGGCATTTAATTGTAAAGGCTGAGGTTAGCGTAAGGGGCTAGTGCATTACTATGTCAATGAGTGTCCTCATAAAGACATGCACAGATGTGAGTTTCCACGTTGCAGTGGTCTATATTTTTGAAGCTGCTGGGCTTGTGGTTGTTGGGCCTGACATAATAGAGAAGAAAAGGCAGTGACAAATATGTGACAGCTCTGACAGCACAGGGCTGGGTTGAGCAACTGCGAGCGGATAGACAGGCAAACAGGTAGACGGGAAGCCTGGCGTCAGGCCGAGGGAGCCTGAGGCCAGGGAAAGGCAGCTGCAGCAATCAACATCAATAAATTTATGTTTTATTTTAAAAGCAGCCGTAAGAGAGAGAGAACTGTCAGTGTGTCACAGAATTAGTATGTGAACTGTACCGAATTTTTATCGTCTTTAGATTCATCATTTGCAACATTATCATGTGTATCAATGTTCCCCCCCTTCCTAATGATCTTTATTATAGCGATTCAGTAAGTTTCCTCACTTTCGGTGCTCTGTCCCACAGAAACTGACACATAAAGGAAGTGGTTTCACATTTAGTTTGTTTCTGATAAACAGAAAAGGATCTGATAGATCAGGGGAAGCATCGAGGCCGAACACACACAGTGAAGAATAAAGAGCAAAATATTCTGCTTCTACTTTCCCCTGTTTTGTTGACTTGCCGATAGTTTTTCTAGTGCAGGGTCAGAGGCAGGTCAGTAGTTTTTGGAGTGGCCCGGGCCTCGCTATGTGTATGTGTGTGATGCCGCCCGGGCCGATGGCCTGTGCAGAGGTCCGCTTTGAGGCTCTCAGTGTGATCCGGCCGTGTTTAGTCTACCAGTCCTACATGTCACACACCACAGTCATTTGGTCAGGAGCTGTTTCAACAAGATGCTGCTATTCCTGCAGCACCGCCTCACAAGCCAGGTGAAAAAAGAGCCCTGACTGACTGACTGACTGGGACGAGTCGTCGAGGTGCTGCCAATAACGTTGCGTGATATCGGTGCTTCTCTTCATGTGGTTTTAACTAGAACAATTTGCTGTTGCAGTGTTTGTTTCATTAGCTGAATTTAAAAAAGGTTTTTGCACAGGTGAAGAAGAATTTGCTGCAAAATGACAAAAACTAAATAAAATGTGATAAAAGCCAAAAGAGGTCCTTGCGCTTATCATTTTGTGAAATTTATTGGAAACAGAGTGAGCTCATGATACCAAATGATTCATGACCAGGCTTTAAAAAACAAAATGCAATGTGACACAGACATAGGTGTTTGATTTACTTTTGATTTGACTTTTTCTCTACACTGACAACAAACCTTTCCTGCCCAGTGTTAATGGAAAAGAAAAACAAATGCACATTTTCTCCCCACATTTTTGCCTTTTTAATATGAAAAATGAAACATGAATCATCTTAATCACATTTAAACCAACAGAAACAACAAAAAACTATATATTATATCAGCACACTTTCAAAGGTTTGGAAAGCAACATAGCTTAAATAAGACATTTATTTTTGAAACTAAAATATGCTTCACAATGGACGACATGTGACCTGAAACTTGTGTGTTCCCTGCTGGTTGTCAGAGTAATCCTTCAATACATCGTCGATACATAGATCAGATCATCAATTGTTTGAAGAAAAGGCGCTTTTTGGACAGTGAGGGTTATTTGACACCCTGTGATATTGTTACACTTATCCCATTGAGCCGATGCATTGACAGTGTAAGGGGGGGGAGTTCCTAAGTATTGTTGTAACACACGCACACACACAAACACACACTATCAGCCCACCTGGCTAGTGGGAGCTCCATAGTGCAAAGTACTGTTTGTAAATCCTCCCATAGTGCATCTCTCCTCCCCTCCACTGCTTTAGTAACTGACTGAATGTCTTCTGCTCCTCACCAGATATCTGTTCTGTCAAAACGTTACACTCTTCAATAGGTAACAACAGGAAATGATTTTGAACCATGAAAAACAGAAACATGACATGTTTCTGTTTCTATTTTTATTTTTTTATTTTTTTTAGTTTCTACCACAGATACTTTGCCTCGTTCCTTCTGGATACAGATTTTATTTATTTTTTTTAATTTCTTCCTCCTCTGTGCTCCAGCAAGGACAGCATGGCTTTTTTTTCTTCATATCAACCAAAACATCAAACCATTTTTTTAAAGTACAGACTGAATGAGCTACATTTACATTGACGGACGCCTAAACCGACAGAAATACGGGAACATTGTGTAAAATGCTGTAACACAGAAATGTACTTAACTATCTCCCACTGCAGTAACACCTGCCGAAGCAGTAACCTGAAACTCGCTTCCATCTCTGCCTTTTGATTAAAAAAAACCCCTCACATTTGGGTTGTAACTGGTCGACAGAGCATTATACAAGATATATTAAAATTTATTCCCTTCATAAATAAATGCAAATATCATTTTCCCCCCACAATGCCTCTATTTACATTTTGTACAAAGCCAATTTTGCCTGAGACAGTGTTCCTGCAACAGGCAAAGACAGGATCTAGCTTCTGTATTGACTTACACACAGACGAGTCAAATGTCTTCATCAGTTAAGAATTCTAATCATCCAACTTCACTTTTCTGTTCTCTTTGTAACCAACCGGTCTCCATGTTTGTCAGAGATGGTAAATGGGGAATACGATCCTGTTCTTTGGTCCCTCAAATACAGCAGCCATTTTAGATGTGGCTCTTCCAAGGCCACTACACTTGAGCCAGAGAGGGAGAGAAAAGCTTTGGGTGTCCATTTTAGAAAAGACAGACAGAGAGAAGTCTCCATCTTGGCTCACCTCTGCAGGCAGGTGTGCGTAAGGGGTGTGTATGTACATATTAGGAGGCGTTGAGCACTGAACGGCTGTACAGAGTTTGGTAGTAAGCGCCTGAGTCCATGGTGGCCGGCCCAGGGCTGTCGTAGATCTGCTTGGCTCCCACAGGAGAGCCGCTGGTGTAGCTGTTGTAGGCCATCACCTGGTCCTGGTAGGATTTGAGGTCCATCTTCTGCTCATTGGACATAAGGTTGGTGATGGAAAAAGGGTGGTTGAAATTGTAGTGGGGGTCCAGGGACTTCAGGGCATCATTCTGTAGGTCCATTTGCTGCTGCATGGTGCTGGGTAGGAGGTGGGCACTACCTGCTAGAGACTGGGAGTGGAGGAGTGGGTTGGAAGAAGAGGAAGTGGCGGAAAGGGACAAGGAGGATGGAGGGATGGAGGTTGAGGTGGAGGAGGAGGAGGGAGCCATGGAGACAGACGGGCTGTGCAGGTGTGAGGAGGACAGTGGAGGGCATTCTAGTGGACCCAGGGAGTTTCGGGGATGCGTCTGGTCATCTGAAGACCCTGGGTGGGAGCTGTCTGAGTGGGTGGAGTTGGCTCCCTCTGATCCTTCTGTGGGGCTGCAGTCCTCCATCAGGTGATCTCCACTGTGGCGTCCTTTTCCTGAGCCCCCCTCCTGGCTCTTGGCTCCTTTCTTTGCTGCCTTGTCCTCGATCTTGAAGCGCTTCTGGCGCCTCAGGTAGCAGCCGTTCTCGAACATGTTGCCTGACTGCGGGTGCAGAGTCCAGTAAGAGCCTTTACCTGGCTTGTCTGGCGAGCGAGCTACCTTCACAAAGCAGTCATTGAAGGAGAGCGAGTGGCGAATGGAGTTCTGCCAGCGCTGCTGGTTCTCACGATAGTAGGGGAACAGGTCCATGATCCACTGGTAGATCTCATTCAGGGTTAGCATTTTGCTGCCACTCTGCTGGATTGCCATGGTGATGAGGGAGATGTAGGAGTATGGCGGCTTGGCATGGGTCAGGGAGCGTCGGTAGGGCTTTGGGGGAATCTCTTTAGGCCCGGCCCTGCTCAGAGTTGCAGTGGATGGGTATCCTAGCTGGCTCATGGTCTGGCCCATGTTCTGGTAGTGGGACAAGGAGCCCAGGGAGCCAGGAGCAGCACTGCCCAGCTGGGTTAGTGAGCCTGCGCTGAGAGATGAGGCCACCGGGGAGAGAGACATATGACTGGGCCCGGAGCCCATGGAGGCCAGTGGGGAGCTGCTGAGGCTGGAACTGGGGTACGCCATGTTCATACCTGCAGGGGAGGCGGTGGCTGGGTTCAGGTTGATGTAGCTGTTGATGGTGCCCATGGAGCCCAGACCAGAGTTCATGCTGGTGGGAGATGAATACATCTGGGGACAAAGAGGAACAACATCTGGTTATTCACATGAAAACACAAAGAAACATTTGGGTTATATAAATATCATACAGGCAAAGTTACAATCATTAATAAACTATCAGATAACACTGACCTTTAGTTTTTATAGTTTTGAAAACAGCTCTGTTGTAATTAATTGATTAAATTTATTTGCTGCCCAATGAAAGTTAAATGTGAAAGGGAAGCGGTCTGACTCCTTTTAAAAAGCGACTCCTAATCAATGCACAATGAAGCTCTCAGTGCGCGGAGAGAGGACATGGATTTCACACAGCCATGTTAACCTGAAAATGCGTAAAAGGCGCGTCATGGTGCCTCTCAGTTCAGCCGAACTCCTCCATGCTTCCATGGAAAAAACAAGTTCAGTAATTAAGATAAAGTGGAGGAATTTTCTGTTTCTTGACTCTGATCTTTTCTTTGCGTTTGTCAAAGATGAATGCTTCCGTGTTAAACTACCAGAAATATTTTGGTGAAATATCTAAAACCTGTGACGCGATGTAAAAATATTTAACGTAAACAAAATCCACGGGGAGAAGAGGAATCTCGGCCGCGTACTGATCTTGGGTTAAATATTATCAGACTCTTTCTTCGGGGTAATTTCATCAGTCGGGCCGACGTGAGAACTGAAGCTGCTGATGGAATTAACTCTAATTGAATTAGCAAGAAAAAAGTCTTGTTACATTTACACCTGATTGTCGCAACACTTCAGCGGCTGGCGCGGC